TGGCAGAGCTGAAGCAGGAGTGCCTGGCGCGGGGGCTGGAGGCCAAAGGCAACAAGCAGGACCTGATCCATCGGCTCCAGGCCTACCTGGAGGAGCACGGTGGGAGCTCCGCAATTCCCAAAATTCCCGGAATTCCCAAAATTCCCCCCACCCCCTCCAGACCCCTCCTTCTCCCGGGAATTTTCCCGCTCCGACCTTTCCCTGTTTTTCTCTGCAGCCGAGGAGGAGCCCAACGAGGAGGACGTGCTGGGGGAGGAGATCGAGGTGGGGATTTTTGGGATCATCCCGATTTTCCGGAGGGTTTGGGATGGGATTGAGGCGGATTCCCAGGTGGAAACTCCAGGTGGAATTTTAGGGGGGTTTTTTTTTGGGTTTAAATCCGCTGGATTTGGTGCCTGGGATGCTCCAGATCCCGGGAATTTGGGATTTTGGGATCTGGGATTTTGGGATCCGAGGTTTTGGGTTTGATTCCTGCCCTGGGATGGGGGAATGGTGGGAAAAAAGGGAAATTTTGGGAGATTTTTTTGGGATTTTGGGTGGAATTCCTGCCTAGAACAGAATTCCCCATCCCTGGAATTATCCCAGATCAGGCTGGAGTTCCCTGGGATGGGGAAAATCCAGGAAAAAAGGGGAATTTGGGGATTTTTTTGGATTTTGAGAAGAAATCACACCTGAAAAAGGAATTTTTTGCCAAGAAAACTTCGGGAATTGATTTTTCCTACTGGGCAGAAGATTGAAATTGGGAATTTTCCTGATTTTTCCATGGAATATTTGGGATGGGAGCATCACACTGGAATTATTCCCAGCTCCTCGTGCATCCCAAAATTCCTGGAGCTTGGGAAAATTGGGAATTTGGAACCCATGTGTGGAAATCCAGGAATTTGGGGCTGGATTTGGGAATTTTCCTTGGGAATGGCCACGAGCTGGGGGGGATTTTGTGGCTTTTCCTTGGATTTCACATGGATTTGAGGAGTTTCCCATGGATTTTCGTTGGATTTTCCATGGATTTCCCATGGATTTTCCCTGGATTTGATGGATCTCCCTTGGATTTTCCATGGATTTGATGGATTTTCCCGTGGATTTCCTGTGGATTTCCCATGGATTTCCCATTGATTTCCCCGGATTTTCCATGGATTTCCCATGGATTTGATGGGTTTCTCATGGATTTTCCATTAATTTCTCCCGTGGATTTTCCCATGGATTTCCCATGGGTTTTCCCGGGGATTTTCCATGGATTTTCCATGGGTTTTATGGATTTCCCATGGATTTTCCCTGGATTTCCCATTGATTTCCCATGGATTTCCCATGGATTTGATGGGTTTCCCATGGATTTTCCATTAATTTCTCCCATGGATTTTTCCATGGATTTTTCCATGGATTCTATTATGGATTCTTCCATGAATTTTTTCATGGATTTTCCCATGGATTTTCCACGGGTTTTATGGATTTTCCGTGGGTTTTATGGATTTTCCCATGGATTTTCCCATGGATTTCCCATGGGTTTTCCTGGGGATTTTCCATGGATTTTCCATGGGTTTTATGGATTTCCCATGGATTTCCCATGGGTTTTATGGATTTTCCCTGGGTTTCCCATGGATTTTCCCTGGGTTTCCCATGGATTTTCCCTGGGTTTTCCATGGATTTTCCCGGATTTCAGGAGGAGGAGCCCAAGGCACCGGAGCCGCCCGGGAAGGTGGAGGAGGCGCCGCTGAAGTCGCCGGATGTGTGAGAATTCCCGGGAAAAGCTCGGGAACGGGGCCGGGCTCCTGGGATTGGGAATTCCCTGGGATTGGGAATCCCCTGGGGTTGGAATTTCCAAGATTTGGAATTTCGGGATTTGGAATTTCGGGATTGGGAATTCTGTGGGGTTGGGATTCCTGGGATTGGGAATTCCCTGGATTTGGGATTCCTGGATTTGGGATTCCTTGGGATTTGGGAATTCCTGGGGTTTGGCATTCCCTGGATTTAGGATTCCCGGATTTGGGCATTTCTGGATTTAGAATGCCATAGGATTGGGATTCTGTGGAGTTGGGATTTCCTGGATTTGGGAATTCCTGGGATTTGGGATTCTGGGATTTGGGAATTCCTGGATCTGGAATTCCCAACATTCCCAACCCTCTGGAATTCTTTCCCCGCAATCCCTTCCCAATCCCAGGCACTTTTCCCACCCTAAAAATTCCTCTGGGGAATTCCCAAATCCCAGAAAAATTCCCAAATCCCAGAGAAATTCCCAAATCCTGGGGATGGGGGCAGATCCCAAATTCCCCCAGAGCTTCCCTGATTTTTTCCCGTTTTTCCCAAATTTTTCCAGGATCCAGGAGAAGAAAGTGGTGAAGATCTCCTCGGACATCTCCCAGATGGAGGTGAAATTTGGGGAATTTTTGGGGATTTTTTGGGATTTTTGAGGGTTTTTTGGGATTTTTAAAAATCTTGTGGGATTTTTGGGTGATTTTGGGGGGGGGAGTTTTGGAATTTTGTGGGGATTTTTCAGGGGTTTTTTGGGGATTTTTGGGATATTTTTGGGCTTTAATGGGATGTTAATGGGGATTTTTGGGATTTTGTGAGATGTTAATAGGATTTTTTGGGATTTTTATGGGATGTTAATGGGATTTTAGGGATTTTAGTGGGATTTTTTTTTTAATGGGATTTTTTTTTTATTTTAATGGGATTTTAGTGGGATTTTAGTGGGATTTTAGTGGGATTTTAATGGGATTTTGTGGGATTTTAACAGGATTTTTTTTGGGGAATTTGTGGGATTTTTTTTTATTTTAATGGGATGTTAATAGGATTTTAATGGAACTTTAATGGGATTTTGTGGGATTTTAATGGGATTTTTTGTGGGATTTCTGAGATTCTCGTGGGATTTTTGGGATTCTGTGGGTTTCTAATGGGATTATTTGGGTTTTTGGGGATTTCTTTGGATTTTAATGGGATGTTGATGGGATTTTTTGTGGGATGTTGATGGGATTTGTTGGGATTTTTGGGATTTTTTGGGAATTGGCAGCGGATGCAGAAACGAGCCGAGCGCTTCAACGTCCCCGTCAGCCTGGAGAGCAAAAAGGCGGCGAGGGCGGCGCGGTGAGCCCAAAATTCCAGGAAAAATCGGGAATTTTGGGGAAAATTTGGGGGTTTTGGGGGAAAACGGGGAATTCTGGAGGAGAAATTGGGAATTCTGGGGGGAAATTCCAGGGAAATCGGGAGAAAATTGGGAATTTTAGGGGGGGATTCCTGGGAAATCTGAGGAAGATTTGGGAATTCTGGGGGGAAATTCCAGGGAAATCGGGGGAAATTGGGAATTTTGGGGGAAGTTTGGGAATTTGGGTGGAAATTCCAGGGAAAATTGGGAATTCTGGGGGGAGGTTTGGGAATTCTGAGGGGAAATTTGGGAATCCTGGGGGAAATTGGGAATTCTGGGGGGAAATTTGGGAATTATGGGTGGAAATTTTGGAACTTTGCTAGGGGGGAATTCCAGGGAGATTTGGGAATTCTTGGGGAAATTCTGGCTATAATTCCCAAATTTCCTGCCCTAAATCCCAAAATTCCATCCCTGATCCCCAAAATTCCATCCCTAATTCCCGTTTTTTTCCTTCCTGCAGCTTCGGCCTGGCCACAATTCCCACAAAAGGTGAGGAGCCGGAAATTTGGGAATTTTGGGAATTCTGGGAATTTCTGCCATCTCCAATCCCCTTTCCTGCATTTCTGGGAATGGGAAATTTGGGAATTCTGGGAGTGGGAAATGCGGGAAAAGCTCCCGGAGGATCCCAGATTTTCCTGGGAATTCTCATCCTGAGGGATCCGGGGTTGGGATTTTCCAGGAATTCCTGAGGGAATTCCCAGATCCGGGGAAAATTCAGGAATTTGGGCAATTCCTGATGGGAATTTTCTCCTTCCCAGGGCTCGCGGCTGACTCCAAACCCACGGTGAGAAAATCCGGGAATTTGGGAATTCTCAAGGAATTTTGGGGGGATTTAAGTGGAAATTTGGGACTCTGGGGGGAATTTTGGGAATTCAGTTTGAAATTTTTGGGATCCCAGCTGGAATTTTGGGATCAGGATTGGGAATTTTGGGATCCCAGCTGGAATTTAATTCCCCAAAACCCCCAGGAGTTTTTCCGGGATCAGCCCCTCTGGAAAAGCCTCCGGAATTTTGGGAATTTCCCCCTTTGAAGTTGATCCCAAATCCCAAAAATTCCCAAAAAATCCCCAAAATTCCCAAATTTCCTCTCCCAGCTGAACCTGGAGAAGCTGAAGGAAAGGGCCCAGAGGTTCGGCCTCAACGTCTCCTCCCTCTCCAGGAAGGTGAGATGGAATTCCGGGAATTTTGGGAATTCCGGGAATTTTGGGGATTTGGGTATTTTGGGAATTTGGGGAATTGGGGTTTTTCAGGAATTTTGGGTTTTTTTGGGAGTTGTTAGTTTTGGGGATTTGGGTTTTTGGGAATTCTGGGGGGTATCTGAGGGGGAATTTGGGAATTCTAAGGGGAAATTTGGGAATTCTGTGAGGAAATTCTGGGGGGAAATTGGGAATTCTGGGGGAATTTGGGAATTTTGGGGGGAAATCCAGGGGAATTTGGGGCCGTTCCAAACATTCCCAATCCCAACATTCCCAATCCCGTTCGGGAATTCTGGGCGGGTATCTGAGGGGAAAATTGGGAATTATGGGGGGAAATTTGGGAATTATGGGAGGAAATCCAGGAGAATTTGGGAATTTGGAGCCGTTCCCAACATTCCCAATCCCGAAATTCCCGCAATTCCCAGAGCGAGGAGGACGAGAAGCTGAAGAAGAGGAAGGAACGGTTCGGGATCGTCACCGGGGCCGGAGCCGCCGACGACTCCGAGGTGGGGCCGGAATTCCGGGATTTGGGTCGGAATTCCCGGGATTTGGGGCCATTTTTCCAATAATTTTGGGGCTGTTTTTCCAGGAATTTGGGGTCAATTTTCTAGGAATTCTGGGGTCAATTTTCCAGGAATTTTTGACCCACTTTTCCAGGAATTTTGGGGCCATTTTCCCAGGAATTTTCGACCCACTTTTCCAGGAATTTCAGGACTGTTTTCCCAGGGATTTGGGACCCATTTTTCCAGGAATTTTGGGGCCTTTTTCCCAGGAATTTGGGGTCATTTTTGCAGGAATTCTGGTTCTGTTTTCAAGGAATTTGGGCCCATTTTTCCAGGAATTTCAGGACTGTTTTTCCAGGAATTTGGACCCATTTTTCCAGGAATTTTGGGGCTGTTTTCCCAGGAATTTGGGGCCATATTTTCCCAGGAATTCCAGGTTTGGAATTCCCTGTGTTTTGGGCCTCATTTCCTTGGAAAACCCCCCCCAAATCCCGGGATTTTCCTGCCCTTTGGGATCAGGAATTTCCCCATTCCCACCCCCCTCCCTTTCCCGGGATTCTCCCCACGGATTTCCGGGATTTTCCCAATTTTTGGCCTTTCCCAAATCCAGGCAAAGAAGCGGAAAAGGGCGGAAAGGTTCGGGATCGTCTGAGCCGCTCCGGAGCCACCTCAGGTCAGGATCCACTGTTCCCAACTTTCCAGGGAATTCCCGATTTTTCCAGGGAATTCCCGATTTTCCATGGAATTCCCATTTCCTCTGAGGATTTTCCTCCTCAGTTTTTGAATTTTTCCCAAAAAATCGAAGGGAAAGTGAGGAGCTGGGCTTGGGAATTCCCAAATCTTGGGAATTTTGGGCACAATTCCTAAAATATCGGGGTTTTCCAGGGATACGAGGAGATTTTTCCATGGATTTGGGGCCAATTTTCCAGGGATTTTGTTTTTGTTTTTTTTTTTTCCCAGGGATTTGGGGTGTTTTTCCAGGGATTTAGAGCTGTTTTTTCAGGGATTTTGGGACCATTTTTCCAGGAATTTGGGATTGTTTTTCCCAGGGATTTGGGACCAATTTTCCAGGGATTTGAGGAGATTTTTCCATGGATTTGGGGATGTTTTTCCAGGGATTTTGAAGCTCATTTTCCAGGGATCTGGGGTTGTTTTTCCCAGGAATTTGGGGCTGTTTTTCCAGGGATTTTGGGACCATTTTCCCAGGAATCTGGGGGCATTTTCCAGGGATTTTGGGGGATTTATGGAACAACTCCCACGGGGAATCCCAGCATCCCAATCCCGTGGGATTTTTGGGAATTTCCCGCGGAACCCAAGCAGGAATTCCAGGGGAATTTCTTGGATTTCCAGGTGGGCGTTGCCTGAACCCTTCCCCTGTTGAAGACTTGAGCTGCCAGGATTTGCAATTCCCGGCGGGAATTTCGGGAATTCGGGGCCATTCCCGGAATTCCGGGGCCGTTCCCAGCCTGAGATATTCTATTTTTTTGGGAATTTTCCTTTCCCACCCCTCGGGAACCTCGGAAGCTCCGGGAATTTTCCGGGATGCTCCTTCCCATCCCGGAAATCCTCGGGATCCGGGCGCATCCCTGGGGCTCCTCCCTCTTTTTTTTCCCGGTTTTTTCCCGGGTTTTTTATTCCCAGTTTTTTCTATTTTCCCGGTTTTTCCCTTGGAAGGGTCGGGCGCTGCCCCTCGTCCCTCAATTCCCAATAAAAAACTTCCCTTTTCCAAGGAAATCCCGGGTTTTTTTTACCCAGGGGTTTGGATTTGGGGCTGGAACTGGAATTCCGGGAATTCCCTCCTTTCCTGGGCCATTCCTGAGGTTTTCCAGGAATTCCTGGGGTTAAATCCCAATTTTCCAAGTCTCGGGAATTTCTGCAATTTTCCTGCTGTTATCCAGATTTCCCAGGAATTCCTGGGGTTAAATCCCGATTTTCCTGAGCTTTCCCAGGAATTCCTGGGGTTAAATCCCGATTTTCCTGAGCTTT